TTCACAGGGGGTTGAGTGATACTAGCAATCACAGCATTGTAAGAGGGGGACAATTGAACACGTAGGCCTCCACCCCTGTTTAATGATGGACGATTTCTTTTCACAAAGATGGCCTCCTTTACTCCTCTCTCAAACCATCGTTCCTCTCTGTCCAGGATGTGAACATCTTCATCCCTGAAAGAGTGACCGCTGGCCTGGAGATGAGTGTAGACCGCAGAATCCTGGCCTGATGATGTTGATCTTCTGTGCTGGTCCATCCTTTTGGCCAGTGGCTGTTTAGTTTCCCCGACGTAAGACTGATCACAGCCCTCCTGACACTGAACAGCATACACAACATTACTCTGTTTGTGCCGGGGAACTGGATCTTTGGGATGAACCAGTCTTTGCCGTAATGTATTTTGGTCAATGGGGTCTCCAGTTTCTCCTATTGTGGCCAACCTGTACATGGAGGAGGTAGAAAAGAGAGCCGTGACGTCCTTTTCAGGGACACCACCAAGTTATTGGTTCAGGTATGTTGACGACACCTGGGTTAAAATTAAATCTCAGGAAGTCCAACATTTTACTGACCACATCAACTCTGTGGATAAATACATCGAGTTCACACGAGAAGCTGTAAAAGATGGCAGGTTGGCTTTCTTGGACTGTGAGGTCTCAGTCTCTGATAGAGGACATTTGCAAACTGAGGTGTACCACAAACCCACCCACACAGACCAGTACTTGCAGTTTGACTCCCATCACCCTTTGGAGCACAAGTTAGGAGTCAGTCACCAGGACTCTGTACCACAGAGCAGACAGCGTCCCCACTAGCTCAGGAGCCAGGCAGAAGGAGAAATCCCACACAAGACAGGCTCTAGAGCAATGTGGATATCCTAACTGGGCCTTCCTGAAAGCAGAGAAGAAACCCAAACAGGACTCCAGTCAGCCATCAGGTGAAAAGGAGGAACCCAGACCCAGACCAGTGGTCATTCCATATGTTGAGGGAGTATCAGAGAAACTGAGACGTTTATTTTCTAAACATATTGTCCCAGTGGCTTTTAAACCGAAAATACATTACGGCAAAGACTGGTTCATCCCAAAGATCCAGTCCCCCGGCACAAACAGAGTAATGTTGTGTTCAGTGTCAGGAGGGCTGTGATCAGTCTTACATCGGGGAAACTAAACAGCCACTGGCCAAAAGGATGGCCCAGCACAGAAGATCAACATCATCAGGCCAGGACTCTGCGGTCTACACTCATCTCCAGGCCAGCGGTCACTCTTTCAGGGATGAAGATGTTCACATCCTGGACAGAGAGGAACGATGGTTTGAGAGAGGAGTAAAGGAGGCCATCTTTGTGAAAAGAAATCGTCCATCATTAAACAGGGGTGGAGGCCTCCGGGTTCAACTGTCCCCCTCTTACAATGCTGTGATTGCTAGTATCACTCAGCCCTCTGTGAATAGTAAACACCCATCAGTGTGCTAATGATCCATTGTTAGGCTGATGGTCCTTCTTGAGCATGTGATCAGCTGGTTTTGGTTGTCAGCAGCAAAACTGGTTGATCAACTCTGAGAAGGTGCTATTTAAGAGACTGAGCTGAATACAGCACCTCAGACTGAGGAAGTCTCTCGGAAGAGCGACGAAACATTTCTACATTTTTTTTGCTTTGTTTTTTTGAATGTCCAGAGGACCAGATTGAACTTTTTTGGATTTCCTCTTTATGATTTATAAAGATGGTGACTATATTCAGAGTTTGTCAGGCACAGGAAGGGCAGTGTCCCAAAACGCCACTTTTTTAAAACACTCTTCAGTATTAGCTCCATTTGGATCCACTCATTGATCCCCTTTATTAAGCCAAAAAGATGTTTCTATCCTGACTTCATGAGTTAACAAATGGTGCCTATGTCCCCCGTTGCTGAGGGACTTGAACAGTGAATGTTTGTAGATTTTGAAATGATATAATAACAAAATATGCATGTAAATCGTAATGTTTTTGATACAAGATATTCAGATGGGTAGGGGTTACACTCTGTATAAGAACAGAGGTATTTTTCATTTTATTTTATCTTTTACTTGTCTGGGGCAGCATAGAGTGACAGACCCTGGAGAGTGGAGGAAGAAATTTTGTCCACAACCAGTAGCAATAGTGGAGCCAGCGGGTGGCCAGTGGTGGCCTTGGCCACCATAGATTAATCTTCGGCAACCCCAAGGGCCATCACAATCATTTGAGGAAGCTATATTTTTAAAGCAGTTTAAAAACTAGAAAGCA